TAACTATTCTCCTTACGTAGGAGTCACAAAATAACCCTAAAACGACACTTAAACACTAAATAACAAGTCTAAAACTGATTCGGGTCCAATTGTACACATTTTACCCCACATTTCTTGATAGTTTGGCTTTGCATTTCATCGTCCCTCGACATATTTCACGCTAGGTTGTGCTTGTTTTGATACATTTCAGGTCCTAGCACGTGTGGAAGGGTCGAGGACTAGTTTTGACACGATTGGAGGTCGAACGGTGCAAAACCGAAGAAAAGTCCAAAGTCACCATGACAACTGCCTTGGACCATGAAGCGCAGGCGTCCAGGAACTAGCCACAATTCACGGTCAAAGCTGCGAGTTCACAGTCGCCAAGACCATGAACTGGAACCACAAACCGCCAACCGAAGGGCGTCCTGAGGAGTTTCAGAGGTTACTGGCGCTGAGGCAGTTCACAGTCGTAAGACCGTGAACTGAAGCCATGGACAGTGAACTCAACAAATGAAGCTTCACGTTTTGGGCTATGTTCACGCTCCCGACCTGATGTTCACGGCCGTGAAATGGGATCATGAATTAGGCGTGATTGGGTATAAATAGAGAGCCGAAAGGAGGAAGAAGAGAGTTTTTGGAGGGTTTTAATTTTCAAAATAAAGGGGGTTTTCTAGTGAGAGATTAGGGTTTCCTCTTCCCATTTTAGAGAGAGAAAGTGCCATTCAAAGGAGGAAGAAGGAGATTGGGCTCAATTCAAGCTAGAGGATTGAAGATCTCTTCTTCTCAAGGGAGATTCAAGCAAGAAGGAAGGAAGATTTTCATCTCTCCATGGTTCTTTCTCTCCTTTTTGTTGTTTTCCTTTGCCTAGCTATTGATTAGCCTTCCTACGCACTTGGACTTGTGAATCCTAGTCTAGATGTGTGTTAGGATATAAGAACTTGATTCTATTGTGTTGATTGTGTGTTTTATATATTAGTTGAGGTATTAATCATGAATGATTGGGTATTGCTTGCTTTATCTCATTATTGGGTCAAATTAACCTATAAGGTGGAAATCCCCCTTTAGCCCATAGGGAGCTTGATCTCCTAGCCACTTGGGTAACCCCTTTTGGGTTAATCTAGGGCCAAAACCTCAAGTATTGGAGTAGTACCATGATCCCATCATGGTTGGTCACTCTCCGCCATCTAGATTAACTTCCGAGGGTTGAGTATTGCAACCCTTAGTTGATTAGTTAAGAGAGCTAGATCGTCTATGTAACACCCCATTTTCGACTTAGGGTTCGATTAAGGTTTGACCGAATGATTAGATCGACGGTTACGTACAAAGAGTTGCAACCGTGGTTTGGAGATAATAATAATAATAACATTATTATTATTTTTTTATTATCTTAATTATTATCATTATCATAGTCATCATCATCTCCACGTTTCCTCTTCACCATCTAGACAAACAAATAAATAAACAAAACCCTACCACCGTTACTTCCCCACCCAGCTATTCCCATTCCGCCCATTTATTCCCCACCTCTAGCCAATCGCCATTCCGTTACCACCGCTCTCCCATTATTTTTGTTGCTCCGTAAACCGAAGAAAAATAGAGAAGCACCAGCGCGGTAAGCAGTGGAAAGGAACCCCCGACAACTTCGTCTTCCTCCCGCAGCATGCGTCAAAACTACACGCCTTGTCCTCACCGGCAGCAGACGACGGTAATTTCTCGGGTCGCCGGCAGTCCCTACCCCGAACTCCAAACCTCCATGCCACCATCGACGAAAGCGTATCCTCCGACGTTTTAGAGTTTCGATGGTGGCACAACACATGCGTAGTTGATTTCAAATAGTATTCAAGTAGTGGGTTTCATTGCAAAGAGGACGATACAAGGATCGCAACGGCCTTGACGAATTCGAATTCCGACGTCGGACGAAGGAGAACCGAGCCTCAAAAGTTTAGGACGCAAATTGGATAGCTCAGGTACCATTCTTGTGAATTCAAAAAGTTAGAGGATTAAATCTATACTTTTTCCAGAGAGGTGGTGGTCAACTGTGTTGACTGGAAAATTACAGTTTCGGTACCTAGTACTTTTAAACTGACAAAATGTTTATTTTGGTCATAACTCGATCAATTGACTTCCGAACGAGAAATCGTCTGCACATATAGAATCATGAGAACGAGGAGAATTTAATGGAAGTGATTCATGGAATTTATAGAGAAGAATCAGAGTTGGTTTCTACGGATTTGAGGTGAGTGTAAAGGGGGTAAAATCTTCGTCGAGGTCTTTTAGTTTATGTCTTTTAATTCAATTACGTTTGTTATTTTCAAGTAAGCGTGATTATGTGTGTTAGGCATCCCACCGCCTGTAAGGGTGGAGGCACACGTTGTGCTATGTATGAATGTATGGTTGTAACTTATGGTTGATGGTAACTGAACCCCCGGGCGGTTGGGGCACTACTGGACGCAGTAGATGGTCGGATCACAGCTGGACGGCGAGACATAACGCAGCAGTTGATCGAGTATATTGGGGTCACTACTGGACGACGAGACGTAATGCAGTAGTTGAACGGGCATGGACTGGACAGCAGACGTAACGCAGTGCCATTTCCGAGTTTGGGTATGCAACCGGACGACGAGACGTAACGCGGTTGGCATACTTGGGTAGGAAGGTTAAGAGAGGTTAGTCTACTTACTTAATGCAACAATCCTTATTGATCAACTAAGAGAGTTAGGGTTTCTTCGGTTTGTTTGATTAAGAGAGCTAGGCCTCCTAGTTTATTGTTGCAATCCTTAGCCAAGCGATTAAGAGAGCTAGGTTCGCAATCTTATTGTAGCAATCCTGGATTGATCGACTAGGAGGGCTTGTTCCTAGCTTGATGCACCCGCCTCGCGGTATATAAACATACCCTTCATAATAGAGTTTCGTTCATTGATTCTTAGCACGAGACTAGGGGGAGAAATACCCGGGTGAGGTCCTCTCGTATAGAATTCCCTTCGATTTACTTTACTTCTTGTTTTCATTTGTAGTTTTCATAGTTTTAAACCCAAAACCGTTTTGCTAGATAAGAATTTAAACGATTGAAATAGGGGTATATGGACCGGTCCGAGTTTGACAATTAAAACATACTTGCCATATACTGCAACCGGCTAGAGTTTATGCTTGAGCTATAGTCGGGATTAATTTGCGGTGTATCCGTGGTGAGTCATGAACGCAAATAGTGAATTAGCAATACTTCAGCGCCGCCCAGCTCCGCCCGACCTCGGTTCTTAAAATACCCGATGGGGTATTTTCTATCACGGTTGGGGGGCCTCATGTTCGTGATACCTGGCCTGGCCCTCACAATATCTGATCGGGTATTTCCCTCTTTTGGATGGGTTTTTTTGGTTATTCCTTCCATCTTGGCCTACGAATATGCTTCGATCCTCTAACAGCTCCAGGTCATCCGGTGATCATCTCTTGGTCACTTAGACCTTTCTCTTTGTCTACACGAGCCTCAATCTTCGAACTCATGGGACGTCCTGTGAGGTGATTCTAGTTGCATGAGTGTTTTCACCATATGCCATTTTGGTATTATTATATGCTTTTCGAGGTCAAATGCAATCTATGATGATTTGGATCAGTCTTTGAATGAAGTTGGAGGATCAACTGGGAAATTACTAGAAGATCAAGGTTGTCCACTAAACAAAGTCCAATGAAGGAGAAGCCTTCATGAAGTCTTCATAGGAGGTCAATAGAAGTTTACTAGAGAAATTTTAGCTCAACCTTGCCTGAAAACCCACGACAGGCATGTGATGGTCCCAACCGTCACGTATGTCGATGCGAGAAGATTCATATTTTGCATAGCGTATGCCGACGCGGGAGATTCAAATTTTGTATTGTTTTGTCAACAAGGGGAATGTTTTATTTTCTATAGCATTCGTTAATGAGGGTAAGTCACCTAACGCAAGAAAATTATGATTTTTGTAGTGCTTATTGATAACGATGTATTTGCACGTGTTTGCACCCTTATTTCTTATCTATTTGCGACTCATAGTAGTGCATTTTTAGCCTATTTTATGCTGGGTTGTGCTATTTTGTCACATTTAAGGTCCCAAACGTCTAAGGAAAGGCTAGGCGCAAGTTTCAAGTCAATCCAATATCAATTGCCGATTCGAGAGAAGAAACTTGGGCATGACCTGAAGAAGAATGAATTTATGACTCATTTATGGACAAATAATCATGAAATCTTGTCATTAAAATAAATAAGACGAGACAACGAGCGTCTGGGATCAAACGGCGACTGATTCGGAGTCCGAATGAGGGAGAAACGAAGCATTGAATATAGGGGAACATGTTCGGCAGTAAAAACATGAGCAGACTGCCCTAAAAACACGGCCGTGTTTCATCTGGTCCCCGCTAGTGTTTTTACTGCTGAGGGCGTGTAAAGACGGCTGCTGAGGAGTTCAAAACACGGGCGCACTAGAGAAAAACACAACAGTGTCACTTATGGGGAACGACCGTTTTTTGGGAACGACGTGGGCGTGTTTTGCCTCATCCCTCGACCGTGTTTTGCCCAGAATCGGGTTTTTGAGACAGATTCGAGCCAAAGGAAAGGGAGACGACTTTTTGAGCAGAAAATAGAGTTTTAGAGAGAGAAAGTGCTAAGAACAAACCATATGAGCTATTTGGAGTGGATTTCTCACCACTGAAGCCCAGATTGTATCCCCAGGAGTGAAGATCGACATCCCAGTGCAGATTATCCCCATCTTATGAGTATGACTGCTCTAATTTCTGTTTTCCTCTCGCTCTCTATGGAGTAGAACTTTCTCTCACTTGGGTATGAAGAACCTTAGTTCCATGTGTTATGAATCCTGATTGTAATGACGTTTGGATTGATATACTGCTTGATTATAATCGATTGATGCATGCTTCATTGAGTCAATTGAAGCCTGATCAACTTTTCTTGATTTCTGCTACAACTTGACATAGGTAGAATCTGATTAGGTTGTTAGAGCTTCATCAATCGGTAGTAGTGAATTGGTTACACGAGAGTTAATCGATTTACTGCTTTATACTAGAATCCAATCCCAGTAATGGAACTTCAAGCGGGCTTTAAAGGCGCGGCTGGCTTCGAAGGAGGCTCTAGCACAGCTGCAGATCAAGCAGGAGGAAGACTCCAATTTCACTTGGATATTGTGAACTCTAGTCTAGGATGTGTTAGATTGTAGGATTTGAACTCTTTGTGTGTTGGGTTTGTGATTTATATAATGATTGAGTTATTATTCACGGAAATTGGATGTTATTGATCAAAGCCCTCAATTTAGGGACAAGTTGACTTAGAATGATGAAATCCCCTTATAGCCCATTCTTGGCAATTCAGGTAACCGTTTCTAGGCCAATCCAGGTTAACCCTCAATCATCGAAGAAGTGCCATGATACGTCTTGATTGGTTAATTTTCACCGTTCCGGATTAACTTCCGAGGAGTGGTTTCCTAGCTAATTTAGAACTCCTTCGGTATATAAACCTACCTATCGCACTAGAGTTTCATCTTTGCGTCTTAACACAAGACCGGGGGCAATGTTCAATTGATACTTTCTCAATCGAATTCACCAAAGTCTAATTGCTTGCTTATTTAGTTTGTTTAATTTCCTTAGATTTAACCACAATTTGATAGATAGTCCGCTCGGATTGATATTGAAATACTTACCACATGAACAAGCAAAAGAAAAGTTAACTGACAAGAAGTTTACTTCAAGAGAAAATATGCACTTGGAATAGGAATCTCCCTAACCCTAGCATGTGGTTGGCCAGAATGGAACTCTCATGTACTCTCTGTAATTCATTTTGATGCAAAAATCTAATAATAACAACCAAGCCAATGGGCACGAATCACAACTAGGAGATTGTGGTCGTGATCATGTAGTCATCATCGTGATCTCTAGAAGTTGTCCCTTGTGTCCTCTAAACTTGCACCTTTGGCTTAAAATTGTGCCCAAACCACCATATTCTTCATCGAACCCTGAAAATGTTACATTGATAACATCCTAGACTAGAATGGAGTGAAAATGAACACAGTTATAATGCCTAAGAATGAGGTACGAAAATGTCTAATTTATACTTTATCACTATCTTTTTTATTGACATATTTTGGTGAAGGGAAAAAATAATATTCCCCCTCTGGACTTTCTCCTCTGACTCTGAGAAAGAATGACAAGGTCAGCCCTTGAGGCAAGCAGTCATTAACTTACCTAACAGTTGACCAACAAATACAAATGAACAGCAATGGCGCTCAAGTCATACAAATTAAATAAACCAAAAGCAACAATGGAAACCCAAATAACTTTAGTTAGTAATCCAACACTGCTTCTTTCTCTCATTTTTCTCCATCCCCATGGTAAACATTCAATGTAGGTAAAAAAAAATATAACAAAGGTGAACAAAATAAGAACAAGGAAAAGCCTGTCAGTCAATTCAGGTAAATTGGATTGTAGATCAGATTACATAGTCAAACTTCTCTCTTATGGCTCATATTTAGACTCATGCTTCTGAGGGGTTCCAACAGACCTACCATCTCTTAATCATCATGAGGCTCTAATTATGTTTATTCCTCGCGCAAACCATGCTTGGTAGACCCACTAAGAATAATTATGCAATTGTAATCATCAATCGTCAGCTCCCAGACACTAAAAGTCGCGTCCTTTGTATGCCATTTCCTATTATCCAAAAGATTAAGCAAAACATCCCCGAGTCAGTAACCTAATAAACTAAAAGGTTCCAGTTCTTTCAAAAAACATATCATTCGGAGTTTTGTTTTATCATTTCTAAACGATAATTTTTTGTTTTATGTTTGAACTATCTTAAATCTTCTCAAATTATTTTTGTAATTCATTATGCAAAAAATATTTTTTGATTCTCTCGACGACCACCAGACGTGCATCAAAATTTTTGTTTTAGCATACTCAACCAAATAAGTGATACTCATTCAAACATTTTTAATACATAATATATGTTTTTAAGTTAATATATTCAACATTCCAAAAAAAAAAAAAAAGACATTCAACTAACAATTCAGGAATATTGACAGTTGATAATCTATCGTAATACCAAGTTGAAACCTCTCAACAATTATCATACCCACCCATTTTGTTTAAGTTCTCTAATCTTGATGCTTGCCCTAGGTAGTATATACTATTTTCTTAATGGTGATTTAGAGTATTTACATAGAATGTGTCAATCAAAATAATCATAAATCACATTTTATCTCATACAATTTATCAAAACTGTGATTTTTAATCGCCTACAATAATGAATTTGATTATCTAACCCTATAAAACATAAAATTGTACTAATTGCCTATAAAATAATGAATTTTCCTAAAACATAAATTTCAAATAGATATAACAAATTGTACTAATTGAACAAAGTGAGGGAATTATAAAACCTAAAATATATAACATAGTGAGTGAATTATAAAAACTCGAATATTACTACACACCTTGGCGAAAGAAATATATAATATAATTCACATGTGAATTTACATCCTCCAAAATGGCACAAAGTGTCAGAACCATAAAAGTAAAAAACAAAGAGAAAAAATGGCAAATATAACTGCGGACAAATTAAGGGGGGGAAATGAAAACATATTTTGTGAAACTTTTGGGGAAGAATGAATGCTTGAAGCAGCTTCAGGGAAAAGGAGTAGAGAAAACAAAATTGCCCTGGATGCATATGCTTTCTACACCGGAATAATGCTTGACATGCACTTGAATGTGTTGGGTTTCCTGACATTACAGTCATCTTAAAAGAAGCAGGGGAACAAGCCAAAAACAGACAGAGGCGAAGGAGCGATTGGAACGGCTCAACAAATTGAAGCACGGAATTGTCCTTAAAATAAATAACCTGAGTAGCCAAAGCCGTCTAAAGGTCGGGAAGATGGTATGGAGGAGAAAGTCGGCGACGGGGAATTTGGAGGCATCCGAATGGGATGGGAAGTTGATAGGGCTGTTAAGAAGAAGATGGCCTTGAATACGACGGAAGATATAATATAGCAGGGAACTCTAGGGCGAAGGATAGGAAGTTGAGAAACAGGTTCTTCCGTAACGGAATGAGGAACTTGGCAAAGTTTGGGGAAAAAATAACTGCAAATAAGGGCGCGGAAGGAGGCCGTGGCTGGTGAAAATGAGGGGGGGGAAAAATGAAAAAGAAAATGCGGGGAAGGCTTCCGAGAGAAAACGATTTGAGAAGAAGATAGCAAGGAGGTCTAGAGATGTTGAGAACTGCTTACAGGTTGGTAGCCTGGCATGTACAAGACTTGCCTCGGGTGGCCAAGATTCATCTGTTGACCATACTGCAATCACAACAATATTTGGGTATGATCACAACCAACAGCACGTCAATTTTGGGTGTTGACTAACAAACAACAGCATCATACCTGAGGCCCGCTAGGATGGAAATAAGGTTGGGGAGATCGCAGTGGTGCAACTTGTGGGTTAAATAGAACATGCTGATGCCCACTGTATGATGGACCCATCTGCAATATCCAAAATTAGTCACCATTATTTCACGGAAGAGAATCTCATCAACTATTCCTATCACCCCTACATGTAAACCTTGCAAGTCAACGAATTCAGAAAATCCACAAATAAACACGATGAACTTATCACAGAACAAAGGTTCAATTTTTGTGTTGCAAAGAACATCGACAAATGATCATTGCCAATTGAATAGGAAGTGCTGGTTCTCTTTAACTCCTACCAATTAAAAGGAGAAGCACAGCAAGTGATCAGTTTTAATACTTACTCCAATCCCCACTGGCATCCCGTGCATTTGTGGTAAAGTGGTAACATTTGGCGTGAAGTAGTAAGAACCATCAGAAACCGGTGATGTAGGTCGAACTGGCGACGAATGTGAAGGAGTGAAACTCTTTGCATTTGGGTTGAATTTAAATTCCTGTTGGCAAATATGAAACACAACAGGAAGCCAAAAAAAAAATATATATATATATATATACTAAGTGCACTGGCCACGAAGAAACCCAACATAATGGTAGCAAAGCATGAAATTATATGCAGGGGTATAGAAAGCACCATGTTGCACTAACTCACACCTTAGCATGTGGATTCAGAGTTGAATTTTCAGAAGATGAGGAACCAATTAACGAAGAGCTTGGAGATACAGCAGGATGACTAGAAGCTGACGTAGCACCTGCATGATCCAAACCTGATGCAAAAGTACCAGGTTGTCTGCATGCACTAACACCAGAACTTTCTCCATCCGGTTTAACAGAAACAACCTCTGGTTCAGTAGGTGGCATTTCCTTTACAGAAATTGTCACCGAAGGAGCATCAGCCGATAGTCCACCTCTATCAAAGCCAGCAGTCTGACTGTTCTCTGAAGACTGGGATTCTGAAAGGCAACAAATATAGCAAGTACAAGCAGCAAAACTACAATTTCAGACAAGAACTAGTTGCTCATTACAACACCCGCATGCATAGCAAAATTCTGTCTTTCAACATTAGCGGAAGGCATATAAACAATGGTAATTCCCTTACCATTGGATTTAGACAACTTGGCATCCACAGCTACCTGTATTTGTGAAGCAAAGAGTGGATGGAATATTCCATCAGAATCCATTTATCTAAGGTAAATGTGGCAGATTCAACTATCAAAAGAATGGCTGGAGGATTTGGGAGATTTGCCTCACCGTTTTCGTCTCAATGCTAGCATTAATGCTATCATGCCCTTGTGCAACTCGCAAAATCTCGAGATTCCTACAGTTTCAAGGTGAGCAGTTTAGGAACTTGCATAACCACAGAGAAATGTGTCCTTTGCATACAATTCAAAGCACTAAATGCAAATATAATGAACAAGGAGAGACCTGTATAAAGACCTTCCATTGCTGTCTGAAGTGGAACTTTTACACGGAAGATCATCTGCCTGCTGTCTACAATGGTCATATGTATTGGACTGGAAAAATTCTGACCCGTTACTTGATTGAGAACATTGTGGTTCATCCTAGAAATCACAAACAAAAGGCAAGTATCACTATCCATACAGTCAAAGCCCATTATATTAGAGCCAAGAAGAAATTTCACCAACAGTATCAATTGTCTAAATAATGAACATTTCATCCCAGAAAATAGAATTAAAAGAGTAATACCACTGAAGAGGTTAATAATGCTCCGGCACTGTCATTGCTTGTACCACGATGCAGGTGGTCAGTCTTTGCACCGGATGATGCAGGTACATCACCGAATGTTTCAGTATTCCGGTTGTCTAACAATATATCCTCATCTTCATCGTATCCACTATCATCAAGCCCCCTGCCTCTGATGACTGAAGAAAACCTCACCTCCTCATCACCATCAAAATCTTCACCAAGGTTGATGCCCCTTTCCTGAAATCCGTATTTCAGTCGAGATTCAATGGCTTTTACAACGGAAAATAGAAAAAGGAAAGGAAAGCTTGGAGAGAGCACTCAATGACCTCCGCTAAATGTAGGTCTTCTGTATCCTCGCCCTCAATTTCTCTAGCGATCCTTGTTGCTTCCCTCTCCAACTCTCTCATTCGAGGGCCCTTCTCCAACCTTGTAGTGTAGAGCTCCTCATCAAAAGTGCTTTTCACTCCAAACAACATTTTGTTTGTTTCAAACTGATCCCACCCCCTGAAATAACATAAAAGGCCAAATGGATATCACAAACCTCAGATGGCAATGATTCCAAGAGAATCATCCCATTGCATTACAATAAACTTTTTCCAGGATCTAGTTTCTACCCAAGCCTTTCTTTTGGGTGAAGGTGGGTGCTCTAACAGTGGTTCGATAAAGGACCAAGCCAAGAAAGCAAAGCCACTAAAGTAAACTTGCAGGGTTTCATTCCTAGCAATAGTATAACAAATAACAAGTAGAGCACCCAATAAAAAATAACAGGTAGCACCAGTTTGGCAGCACCCATACAACTAGCCACAATATGAAAAGGAAAAAAAAAATACTGGAAGAATGAATCTAGGAATGTTCATCATAGTAACCTGTTCCAAGGGCCGTCAAATATGTTCTCAAGTCCAGGGCATTGTGGATCATCTTCATCAGGTACCCACGGTGATAGCTCTCTATCCAGTTCCACGTGACGGGAGTGTGATATAGATGAATCTATCAAAATGTCCTCATGCCTTTCATTTTGGAGCTCATTGGACTGCCCCGCAACAGTTAGAGGTACATCCTGGCAGAGTCAAATAAACAACTATCATACAGTACAAATAATCAAAAGAACAAGTCAATAGCTTCATAGTTTCTTTCATCAGGAATAGCTATCTAACTCTTTCATTCACTGTATGTGAGCCTGGCTTTTTCACATATATCATCTTCAAGCAGAAAGACAGGAAATGCATCTAACCTTAGCTATGACCTCTGCAACCTCTTTTCCGGGTATAATTAAAGTCGTCGAAGGAGCTTTCATAACATATTCCTGCTTACTCCCTCGATAAGACGCGTCCTTTGTCATGCGAGCCATTTTCAAAATAATAGCTGAAACATACAATCATTTAAAAGACTGAGAAATAATACAAACCAGTACACTAATTAACAAACTACGGGAATCTTCAACCAAACAAACTCAAGAAGCTTACCGAATTCCTGCTCAACATTTGTGGTGTGACACGTTCCAGAGTAGATGGACCCATTTTTGAGCCGGACTTCCACAGGATGCCCAATAAGGCAGGTTGATAGATATACCAGCCGATCACGAGATGGACTCTCATAAACTGGAGCTTTGCTGGTCCCAACTGCACTTAAACAAACATTGTCAAAGAAAAACTCTCAAGAGACAAGGCTTAGCAGAAAAAGTCGGAGACCCTCACTTGCATTCATCGATCTATTCTGGTTTAATTTCCCAGATTGATGTTTATTTTCCAATCTCATTCCGCTTTCCCTTTCACTTCTTCGACGAGCAAATCCATTGGCAGAAGATTTGAGCTGAGCAGTCTGTTGCGTGTTCATCTCAGCAGCAGCGAAAGAAGATCGGAGTTTTTTGGGGCTTTAGGGATTCGGACGCGCAAGAAGATCGGAGACAGGGGCGGAGAGCTCGGGGGCGGGGCCGAGTTATTTTGCTTAGTTACCTTTTTTGCCCTGGGAATCAGTGACGTTTATTATATAATAATAAAGTACAATTTTTTTTTTTGGTAAATTACAAGTTTGATCATTGGGATTACTATAACGGTCTTATTTGGTCACTAAAAATAATTAATCTTCTTGTAAAAAAAAATTAATTCCATTTATACAAACATTACAAATTTGGTTATTCTTCGTTGGTCTCCATCGGCCTCCGTTAATTAAGTCTGTTATTTGCTGACGTGACTAACAGAATTGTCTAATCAGTCTAATTTAACCCGGACATGATGAAACTCGACTCACCACATCATTAAAACCCACAGTGTCACCTTGTCCATCTCATTTTCCTTTCCGAATCAGAAATCTACTTCTTGTTCATTTTTCTTACCCGAATCCAATACCCAGAAAACCAAAAAAAATCCAAATTTCTAGATCTCGTTCTTCTCATACCTAATCCCAGTAACAGTCTCGGCCACTTGATTTCGTCAAACCCAAACCCGATGCGTCGCAAGTTTCACCGTGCGGATGGGTGCCAACGGAATTAAGCTCGTCGACGTTTTCGTTCACTCTAAGGAAGAGGAGGCGAGATTTGCCTACTTCGAGATTTTAGCAACCACCGAGCTTGGCCTAAGTTCAGATATGGACTTTGATCTAGAAGGAAGTGACGCATCGGTAAACTTTGCTTCGATGTTGAGGGGCGATCCGACGACCTTGCTTGCTAACAGTAAGTGGTCCACCACCGAAGGCAGTGGAGCCTCAAATGCGTAGATCTGACACGGATCAGGAACTCAGGAATGTTGGTTTCGGTTTCGAGGTCCAAGATGGTTGCAATGGCGGCGAGTTGGATAATCGGATCCGGAGAGTGAGAATGTTGTGTTCTTGACGCGAAGGGGAAGGATCAAGAAATGGGGTAGGGTCAGGGATTTGGTTGGGTCAGTAGTGTGTTGACGTGGAGATTGCTATGATGTGGCGGGTAGTTTTTTTTTTAGGGTTAAAAGTAAGTGACTCAGCGTTTATGTTAGTCGTGTCACTAAAAAACTAACGGTGTTAACTGAGATTGGCGATGGATAATAGAGAGTGACAAATTTTGAAATATTTAACTAATCTTAGTGACCAAATATGAATGTTTTTTGTAATCCCAGTGACTAACCTTGTAAATTACCCCAAAAAAAATTTATACTTGTGTCATAACTAGTGTAAATACAATTTAATAGTTAAATCTTGGGGGTTACTATTCGTCGCCCTAGAAATTATTATTCGCCGCCCTAATATTTTTAAATTTACTCTAATGCCCATAATTATCCTTCAGATTAATAGGGGGAAACGAAAGGGTCTAAGCTACTGTCGTCCATTACCAGAAAGCAAAACCAACGGCGGAGCTTCGATCCTTTCATCTGCTCATCAAACACTAAATAAATACATCACACTATTTAATTATATTTTTTTTACAAGGATCAACAATATTTATTAAAAATATAACAGAAACCAGTTCAAAACCCGCCTACACACCAACGGCGGAATGCCAACGAAAAAGAAAAAATTGTTCTATAGCGCTGCATCTTCTTCTTCCTTTTGGTGATAGCAACAGCGGGAGGAGCGACTCTGGTGGCACCGGTGGCGGGGAGCGACCTTCTTCTTCGTCCTCCTTTCTCCTTCTTCTCGATAGCAACAACAAGAATAGAGAGCGTCACGGAGTAACTCCAACAGCAGGAGAGTGAGACGGGAGCAATGATTGGGTCCGCAACGGAGAGCAGTGGGTGGATGGCAGCTTTGGGGTTGGGGGACGATGGTTTAGGTTTGAAATTAAGGGTATATGTGTCAATTTAGTTTGGTTTAGGGAGATTTTTTTTAATTTTAGGGATACGAATAAATCTTGGGTTAATAGTATAAATTGCCCCTCTACTATGATTTTCTCTCAAACTTGCCCCTCTATAATATATCACATCAAACTTGACCTCTTACTATAACCAAGTTATCAAACTTACCCTTCCGCCACAAATTACATCCATATTCCGTTAAAATTGAATGGTTTGAGTGGTGGGATATGTCATTTTTGCCCATTTGTCGAGAAGAAAAATAATTTCTAAAAGGAAACGACACCCTAGCTCTTCTTCATCAGCAATCTCTCCACCCTTCGACGAACGGCACGCCAACGAGTGTTAGTAGTCTCCATATCTACCCTCTTCTTGGTTTTTTTTTCAACTCTCCAATTCCCAACTAATGAATATCACGGCGAGGAACAGTGGGACGGGGAACAAACAATCACCAACAGTAAGGCTAAGGACGTAATTGCGGCAATGACGAAGTGACTAGCTTCTCCGACGATAAAGAAACATCTTTATTGGCGGGTTTCAGATGAAACTCCAAAGATCTAAGTTCAATTTTCAAGCCCTACGATTTGCATTATCTAAAACCAAACGGAAAGCATCTTCTTTACTCAATCATTATCACTCTGTAAATTTAATTATTTGTAGTTATTTGAACCTATTTTCCGATGAGGAAAATCTGGTGTTTGATTTCAATAAATGCACCTTTAACTTCTTGAATAACGATTCTAAACACGGTTCACACCTCTCTGAACAATGTTCGAATGAGGGTGTTTGATGTTTTGATGGTTTTTGGGAACAAACTACATTACACCTACTCCTATGGAGGTTCAGTGAAGAGCTCCGAAAATTAAGGCTATGCTAATTTGCAGAGAAAAAATAAAAGTTTGACATTGTGTGTCAAATGGTTGGTTGTGGAACCTGTTGGGCCGCGTAGTTGAGCGTATTTGGGCCGCGGGCCCAAGAAGAATAAGTCAATGGACAAGGCCCAATAAGGGAGCCTGGTCCGACCAGAAAGACCGGGTCAGCGGGCGGTCCTTAACCAACGTTAGGCCCGAAAATAGCCAGGGGGCGCCTGACATAAAGCGACTGGCTAACACAGAAAAGTAAAGATCCGTTGAGATACGCCTGATGTGTCAGGTAAGACTAAGCATTTATTACCGGCCACAGGCGGCCTGCAGAAAGGCTAACAGCCTGCTCAGGGCGCTTGACACGACTCAAGACGCCTGACATGGCATTTAATGCCTCAACCACCCTCAATCCAGGTATAAATACAGGGTGAGTGCATTAATGGTAAACTCAACTACTACCTATCTCTCTATCATAAATCTATCTCTTCTCTCTTTCTCTCTCTAACTTCAGCTTCGGAGAGTGTCCTGGGCAACCGCCCCGGACCCTTGTTTTGCAGAGTATCTGGAGCGCCTCCCTCTACCCTGAAGCAGACGCCTCGCCCCAGCTCCACAAACCGCCTAGTATCTACTAGGCACAAACAATTTGGCGCCCACCGTGGGGCAGGAGCGAGACACTGAAGAAAGGATGGACGGGAACTTTAGAACTCCAGTGAAGGACGTGATTGGCGGAGAAAGCACTAGAGGGTTGGAAATGCCAACGGTCGAGGAAGAAAAAGACATGGAGGAGCGTGTGAGAGACCAAGGGCAGCAAATCACCAACATGCAGGAAAGCTTGAGCCAAATCCTCACCATGCTCAAAACCAGAGAAGAACCGGAAGGTTCTAGAAGGCGCAGCGACAAGGGCAAAGGTATCGAGGAGGAGACTCCCCCAGCCCTGCTCAGACAGAAGGCAGGGAGTCTGACGAAGGCGCCCACCTCGACGTCCTCGAGGAGCATTTGCGACCCGGCTATGGGAAGCCCAGAGGGTACAACGTGTTGCACAACCCCCTAGCAAAGAGTCTGTTCAAGACCCAAGTGCCCTCAAACTTCTCGTCGCTCAGACTTCCTGCCTATACGGGAAACTCGGATCCATCGGACCACTTGAGCGCCTTCATGCTCAAGATGCAGCTGATAAACGCCTCAGACGCAGATCTCTGCAAAGCGTTCCTAGTCACCTTCGGGGGGCAATGCAGGAGCTGGTACGTGTCACTACCAGCCGGGATAATAGAGAACTTTGAGCAGTTCGCTACCCTCTTTTCGCTAAAATTTGCATCTCAGCGGAGGAGGCAGCTCACTGTCTCGGCGCTCATCAACTGCAAGCAAGGAGAGGAGGAGACGCTAGAGGATTTCTACGACCGATGGAACACAATAGCGTGTGAAGTCCAAGACGTCTCAACCAGCGTGGCCACTGGAAACTTAAGAATGTCAACACACAGCCGGGAGCTGAAGAGGGCCCTCATAAAGAAGGAGCACAACATTAAGTCATGGCAAGACTTAGACCGCATGGTGCGAAATGCCATTTTCTTGGAGGAAGCACTTAATGCTGAAGAGGTCCTAAAGGGGGCGCAAGCCTCGTCGAACAAGGCGGAGAAGGGAAGAAACGGGTCACCGAAGCGAAGAGGGCGCACGCCCGAGAGACGCGGGTACAAACCCAGGTTCAACAACAGAGATGGAAGGCGCGAAGTGTTCACCTAAGAGAAAGAAGAGGAGGGGCGTCGCGAAGGAGGCAAGACCAGAGAGGCGCGCCCCCGCCAAAGGAGAGAGGACGACCAAAAGTGGTGCGACTGGCACCAACTGCCGACTCACGACACCACAGAGTGTCGAGAGTTCAAAGCTAGCCTCAAATACCTGGCTCCCGGGGACCTGAAAAGCCGCTTGGACACACGGGTGCATCCCAGGGAGAGGGCAGGAGAAAGAGACAGGTCGCCGAGCCCGAGGAGAAGATCCCGCACGCCCAGACGTCGGAGATCCCGATCGCCAAGGAGGGAGTGGACACCCCATCGGGAACGCTTGCGTCCACCCCTTAGGCACGCGCCTCCTCCCCGTCATCACGCACGCGAGGAAGATGAGGGTGTCGAAGTAATCACCATCGCCGGGGGGCATAAGCGCCCCTGAACAGAGGGGGACCGCTTGGTACAGTGCATGAATGTTCACCGAAAGGTGCAAGTCGAGATCAGCTTCTCACCTTCGGAGCTAGCGCCCGAGGAGTGTGGAGAGGACACCTTGGTTATATCATTCCGAACGAAGAAATTTAAAGTCACCAGAGCCTTGGTCGACAATGGGAGCTCAGCGGACATTCTGTTTTACTCCACGCTCAAAAGCATGAAGAAAGGGGTACATGACCTCAAATCGTCCACGACCAGCCTGGTGGGCTTCTCTGGCTCCAAAGTCAGAGTTCTCGGCTCCATCACTCTCCAGGTAACAATCGGAGGGCCAGAGGCGACAAAGACGCGCCTCACGGATTTCCATGTGGCAGACTGCCCATCCGCTTACAACGCTATCCTAGGGCGCGATTTCTTGTCAACCTTCTCCGCGGTCCCCTCAACCTGCCATCAGATGCTCAAATTTCCCACCAAAGGAAGAATAAGGCGCATCCTCGGAGACTCCCAACAAGCCAAAGAATTCTACTAGGCCACCATTCGGAACCTGAGGTTGATCAAGTTGACACACGTGGGAACCACCCGCGTCCCGAGGCGGCCGAAGAGGACGTGGCGGTCGTCTTAGATGATGAAGAGTCGGAGAAGAAGGTTAGAATCGCGGCCCACCTAGCGGAGGAGCAGGCGCGAGAAATCTTGTCACTACTGAGAGAGTTCAAAGATTTGTTCGCATGGACGTCAGAAGACATGCCGGGCGTCCCGAGAGAGCTTGCGGAGCACTCCATGTCGATAAAAAGCAAGGCACGACCGGTGCAACAAAGAAGTAGGAACGCCTCGCTCGAGAAGCAAATGGCGCTGGAGGAAGAAGTGGAGCACTTATTAAAAGCAGGCTTCATCAGGGAAGTCAAATATCCAACCTGGCTGGCTAACCCCGTCTTCGTACGCAAGGCGTCCGG